ATAAACAATCACAGGGAACAAATGGTTGCTACCGGGAAGCTGTGAGCGCACTTTGACAGCATACTTCCCGTCAGATCACATACCTGTGACCTTTCGCCATTCTCTAACATTTACTTTCTGTTCTCTGCAGTGTTTCACTGGCAAGCCACAATCATGGGACCTGTAAGTATTTTATGACTTAATAGTTGCACTCTAACATGGAATAGAATGGTGTCCCTTGCTGCCTTTGAATACATCCATTAGATAAAGGTCCAAATTTGACTTGATGATGTGAGCTGAGGTCAGGAAGTGTATCTGAATCCTGAGAGAGAAAAAAAACTGGAATGTTTTTGGTTACAGAGCGACAGTCCATATCAAGGAGGAGTTTTCTTCTTGACAATTCATTTTCCAACAGACTACCCCTTCAAACCCCCCAAGGTGAGCCGGTGTCTCCATAAACTGTCTGAACTTGCTTTGCTGACGGCTTTCCGCAGAATGTTTGAAACCTCAGTGTTTTTGTTGCTGCCTTTAATGCTGTCAACATTTTATAATATTGAGATGTATATATGTAATTTGTTTTAGTTATCAGTGTTTCCTCCTATGACCTGTCCTTGGTCATCCTTGAAAAGAGGTCTTGATCTTATTGTGTTTAATTGATTAGATAAGCTTTTTATTAAGTTTAAAATGACTGGACCAGAATTCCCAAAAGTACAATGCTGTTTCGTGAAAATGTTTCTTTTTAAGTTGACGTCTTTTTATTGTTGTGAATGAAAATACCAGTTTGGTCTGTCAGTCTTATCTGCTTGGAAACCTTTGATGCTGTAACTTGTCATTCCACAAGCAGACAGTCACTGCTTTGTAAAGAGGAATTTGGATTATGTAACAAACGTGGACTTTTTTATTTATCCTTATCTAACATATGTTTTTTTTTNTGCATTTGAACTAATTTAAGGTTTCACAGTTTTGCAAACTATTCTGCATCAAAACAGAAAGTCATGTGGAACACTATGCTGTGTCTAAAACATATATTTTTTTTTTTTTTATACAATTTTTTTTTTTTTTTTTTTTTTTTTTTTCTTTAGGTTGCATTTACAACGAGAATTTACCACCCAAATATTAACAGTAATGGCAGTATCTGTCTGGATATTCTCAGATCACAGTGGTCTCCTGCACTTACTATTTCTAAAGGTACGACAAGCTTATTTTATTTATAATTTTATTCAGTCCACAAGTTGGATCTCTTAAATTCACAAACTCTTTGTGAGCTGTAACATGGTTGGCACAAGAGGTGAAATGAGTAAATGTTGTTTATAAAGCGTCTTTCATCCTGTCTTGCAGTTCTTCTCTCCATTTGCTCACTCCTATGTGACCCAAACCCTGATGACCCACTAGTGCCAGAGATTGCACGAATCTACAAAACAGATAGTCAGAAGTAAGTTTCTGTTCAGTAAAAAATGTTTGTCTATACCTAAACAAAAAATGAACCAGTTGTCTCAAAGTTTATTTTTTATGGTGCTGTGTAGATGATTAATAAAGTGGCTGGGACCTATTATGTAACCTGGTTTCACTTTGTTAGGTACAATAAACTAGCTCAGGAGTGGACAACAAAATATGCCATGCTTTAGGGTAAGGTGAAGGGCCAGTGCTGCATCTTGGCTGCTGTTATGAGGTTGGATGTGCTGCGATGCTCTGATATCACTGGCTTAACCAGAGGCTTGCATCCATGTTTGTAGAAAATGTGTGAATTTGATGACCTGCTCTTTTGGCCCACATAAGGGCTGCTATTGATTGGTTTTGGTTAAAGGTTTAATTAAATTTTTTTTTTTTTTAACATGGCTTCACAGAAATGGCTACTTTGCAAAATGAAATTCTGTTAGATCTGATTAGATTTTATTTTCTTGGTAGAGATGCACCGATAGCAATTTTTGTTTGGGTAGGTGGGTTCTATGGCAATTTTAAACATTGGCTGTGGATATGGATGCTGGCCATCACATCTGTGGTGTGAAAAAGTGCTTTCAAAATGCATTTGGTCTCTTTATTTATTTATTCCTGCCACCGGTAGTGTAACGTTTGGGGACCTTGTGTGAAATGTGGTTAAACCCATATTTTAAAGCAAATGTGAAATAATCTTTTTCATCTTGATGGCTACAGGTGTTTCTAGAACAAAGATCTTGACCTTTTTTAAAACGGTAACTGTTCCATAACACAGTTCAGATGTTATTGGTAAAATGAATCAACTTTGTGCAGAAAAGGGCTTCAACTGAGGAGTGTTGTTCAAGCTGATGGCTCTTGTTTTGGAGTTCCCAACCAAGCAGTTTCCAGTAGGAGCTGCTAAATCTGAAAGTCGGGTTCTGACGGCAGCTTAGTCCTCGGTGCATCTCTTATCTGTGAGACGACAAACAAAATGGCTTCATGTGGATGAAGTGTACTGGGAAAAGTTGTAATAAATTAACCATAGCAAATGAAATTTAGGATAAGATCTTAATTTTTGTACTTTTTAATGAGTCTACATTTGAAAGCGTGCATATTAAATCAGGGTGTATGTCTGCATGTAGTAAAGATTACTAACATAAGCATGGAAGTAATTAGTCAAAAATCCCTCATTTTCAATTTTATCTACTGCATTATTTTAAGGCCTCTTGTTTTTGAGCTTCTTTAGGAGCTCCTGTTCTGACTGAAAGGTGCATGTGCTTTCAATCTCAAGCTGTAGGACACAAGCTTAAGCTATTGAGTTTGTCGACCTCTATAATCATGGCGTCTTTCTCTCAACAGATACATCAAAATGGCAAAAGAATGGACACAGAAGTACGCGATGTGATGGCATCGTACCAAGAGACCAGGGGGAAATCGTTGCTGGTTCAAACTTAAAATTACGGGATTCAGTTTTTCTTTTTCATTGTATTATTTTTGGTTAAATCAATGCATTTTATCCCCCTCCTTTTTTCTTTTATTTCTCAATACCTGCACGCTCATAAGAAGATAGTGTTTTCTCTGTAGGTCACATGCTGGTTTCTGTCAAATTGTGACACTTTTTTTTTTTTTTTTTCTGACTTAAAAGAATCATAGCTCTTAACACTCGTGCGAGTGTGCTCAACCTATTGTAAAAATTCACACACTTTGATCAAGCTGTTATCTTGCTGAAAAATGGCCCATCAACAGACTGGTTCGTCTTCGATTGCTGCATTTCTTTCGTGGAACCTGGGTTTCTATTTTGAGCTTGCAGTACCATAAGATTTAAATTTTCTAATTGGTAAAAATTTGCATTTTTATCAGATGCCAAAATTTGAGTGAAGGTTTTTGTGAGGAAACTGGTAGGTAGTTCTGTATCATGGATCAATGCGACAGTGGTATGTTCCTCTGATCAATAGTATAGGATAATATCTGAAAAATGTATCTCATTCCACTATCAAAGGTGTACAGAGAAGCAGATCAGCATATATCAATGTTAAGGAAACCAATATAAGAACTTAAATGTTGTATTATATGCATGTTAATAAAGGTAGGCTTTTATATCTGATGTTTCTGCAAATTAAGTGATTTGTAAGGTGGAACAGTTGGAAAATTTTTGTTTCCTCACTAATGCTTTCCATTTCTTTTTATTTAGAAGCCAGTAGGTGAGCATTTAGTTTTTTGTTTTTTTTTTAATGTCCACTCAAACACTGTCTTCTTGTAGCCCTGAAATATTGACACAAAGCTGAAGGTTGATTCATCAACTTGTGGCTCTGTTTCTTCTTTAGTTTTCCCTTCAATAAAGTTTCTCCAAAAATAACTTTGTTTTCTGTTCATTAATAAAGAAAAGTCATCTCCAATATAACAAATGTTAAGTCAAACCTGTGGCGCTAACTAATAAAATGGTTTGATTACAAATGCATTGGTATCCTTTTTTTATGAGCGGTCTGCAAATTGTTTAATTTATCATGGCTTGTAGAGAACTTGATAATAGCCAGAGTTCTCAACTAAATGAAAACGTATTGGAATAAAAAGTGGGAGATAAACTTTATTGATGCCACATTAGAGAAATTTACCTCTGCATTTATTCCATCCCCTCGGGAGCATTGGGCTGCCACTATGCAGCACCTAGGGACCAGTTAAGGGTCTTGCCCAGAGTGGCAGTCTGTGAGAGTGGATTTCAAACTCTCAACCTCGGGATTCCAAACTGTCTTAACCACTAGGCTGCCAGTCCCACCTTTGAGTCTTAAAAAAATTGAATAGAATAAATAGCCATTTTAAGGGTCTATACACTTTAGAACAGGGGTTTTTAACGTTTTCCAGGCTAAGGACCCCCAAATTGATGGACCCCTTAAATTATATGCATTGTATGAAATAGTGTTATATCAAACTGGTCCTATAGTTACTCCAACAGTGTTATATCAAACTGGTCCTATAGTTACTCTATTACAGTTGGTGTCATGTACCGAAAGTAATTTTGCCCTGGGATTATTAAGTATTTCTGATTCGGATTCCTCTTTGATGGGACAGGTGTTGTGAAAGAGCTGTGTGTTGCTGAATGTGTGCATTGATGGAAAGACATCTTCTACCTCCATTTATCTGCTTACTAGAGTGTGTTGAATTCATTTTAATGTGTATTTAAAGACATTTCAATTTGTGGAAAAATTGCAAGGGGGATATGAAAAAAAAAAAATCAACCAAAATTTTTAGGACCCACCATGCAGTACCTCCGTGGACCCCCTAGGGGTCGCAGATCTCCGCTTTAGAATGTGATAAAATATCTGATTGGTTAATCAGTACTGCGCTGTGTAAGCCCCGCCCATTATAGATTGTCCTGCAGTGGCTTCATTAAATTTTGTTTTATAAATGTGAGTTGAAACACCGTATAACAATATGTTCTATAAATGTAAGTTATTATCCAAACTTAATGACATGTTTACGAGGAAAATAATTTCGCGCCATTATATTTCCGCCAGGATCAGCTGATTGTCACAAGCGGGTCACGTGCCAAACACGGAAGTACTCGTTTAACATCAGAAACTCACCAAAATAAACGCACATACGATGCCTCCATGGCGCAGGTTGTGGCTCCTCTGAGCTGGGGTTTGCTTTGGTTGTGTTTCGGCGTCCTGTCGGCCTCCGAGCAGCTTCTGGAGCAGAGTCTGAACGGAAAATGGAGGCTTTCAAACTCCAACAGGTCGCTGGTTCTGCCTGCAGAGGTACCGGGCTGTGTCCACTCAGCCCTGCAGCAGCAGCAACACATCCAGGTAGGGAGAAAAGCGCCTGCAAAGTTTACCTTCAATCTCTAGTAGGTACCTAAAATACGGAAAGATAACATCTTTTAAATATGGCATTTGTTGGGACCCCTAACAAGCCCTCTATAAATAAGGTTTTTATTTTTCATTGTTGGCTCGTATGGGAAGAAGTTATGGTCAATAAAAACGAATGCGCAGATCTCTGAATTTGTAAATGAAAGTCAATAACGTAAATATATGAAGGATTTGTGTTTGTTCCTTGATGTCAACTCGGATACATGTGACATAGGATCGGTGAGAAGGTATAAATTTACAACTTTGAATAAATCAAAGATTTTAAAGTAAAAAATTAAATACAAGTAGAGTCACAAATCCTAGATTTATAATATACAAATCAGAAATTTACAAGTAATTTCATGAGTCCTACCCATTCATTTGTGATTCATACTTGTAGTTTAGCAAAGCCATAACTCCTAAAATTATGGACTTCATCATAAGTAAAAAAAAAAAGGAAGCTAACCCCCTCATATCCACAGTAAAGTAAGGCAGAGGACCTGTTATGCTGTGTGTTATGAATTCCTATAGAACACTGTTAGAAGATGCTGCATCATGAAAACTGGAATACCCGGAGAGGAGATGGAGACTAAAAATGAAGTGACCTCTAACATCTGTGTTCATCTTAGACCCCAAACTATTGACCATGGACCATGTCTTCTCTTCAAATGGAGGTGATTTGAAGAGAAGACATGATTAGTTGGACTCTAGACGATCTAGAAAGAGATAGAGATGGTCAAAGATCGTTCTAACCGCATGCTCCAGTCGTTTGAAGTTGAGAGGGTGAACATTTGTACTTTCTTTAACTACAGATTAAATTGTGTTTTGATTGGTGTTTGCACCTTTATAAATAAACTAAAACAAACACTTTTTTTTTTTATACCAGGACCCATATTTCCGGTTTAATGACTTGTTATACCAGTGGATTGCTCTGGACAACTGGACATATTCAACCACATTTGCTGTTTCTACCCAGATAAAGTTGGTTTTAATAGTTTTTTGGATATTTTTTTTTTTTTTTTTGGTTTGGTTTGGTTTGTTTTATACATATCTGCATCTTTAATCTGCCTGCCTAATCTCTGCTTTACCAGAGTCAAACAGAAAGTGCTTCTCATCTTTGATGGCGTGGACACAGTCGCATCCGTTTCTCTTAACGGTATCGTTCTCGGAAAGACTGATAACATGTTTCGCCGATACGTGAGTCCAGCTTTAAAGGGAGTCGGGCCTTGCTTTGGTACCGGCAGTTTGAGTGTCTCTGTAAAGAGTCTCTTTCCATTTCTGTTTTGCAGGACTTTTCAGTCCGAGATCAGCTGAAAGTCGGTGATAACGTGCTGGAAGTCAGCTTCCTTTCACCGGTTCTCTACGCCTCGGAGCGGAGGAAAGCTCACTCTTCCTATGTCGTCCCACCTGAATGTCCTCCAGATGTCCAGAAAGGGGAATGTCATGTTAATTTTATTAGAAAAGTAAGAACTAAATATGCTTTTGCTTTAGAATTCATAGATTTTTTTTTTTTATCCAGATTATCTTTAATTTTAAGTCTTAAGTATGAAAGACCTATTTTGCTTGTTTCTGCAAGCTTTTCACATCTAGTGACTAGGGAGGGTAACGAACAATATATTTAGTCAAATAGAGTTATATTTCATTAAATGATACTGGTATTGATTCAAAGATGGATGAACTGATATTTAAAGAAATATTTGTTCCAACATCCACGTATTTCTCTTATTTATATAGAAGTTCTATATAACTGTTAAACCTCCAGCCACTAGGTGGCACTGTACCGCCCAGAGCAACAACAAGATGTCATGAGGTTTTCCAGAGTTCTAATATTAGTAAAATCTCAATATATAAACAATGATTTTCATTTCCCCAATTCATGCAAAGCTAATGAGAAAGAATACAGTCCATGGAGGATTATAAAGATAGAAAATAAAAGGAAATAAATCACTATAAGGTTGCGTGTATCTATTAAAAAATGCATGGAGATGAACATAGAAAGTAATAAGGTTGATTAAATCATAATACTTTTTTACAGCCTAACCGTGACCCTAACCCTAACCATTACCCTAATCCTAACCTAAAATATATTCACACCTTAGTCCTAAACCCCAAACACCAAAGCCTAAAACTGCTTTTTTACCCATGGGGACCAGTTATTGGTCCCCACAATGTGCTAAGATTTATGTAAAATGGTCCCCACCATGTAATATAAATGCTCCCACACACAGAAATATAGGCTCATGAATGACTGGCAAAAATTTCTGTTTGGTTTCCCCTTTTTGCTTTATGGCAATCTGTAAGACATTTGTTTTATTATTAAAGTTTGAAAGTCCTAAAATTTAATGCACTTCGAGACGATGCATTATTTTCTGTTAGATTATCATATCAAATCCATTAAAATGTGTTGTTTTCAAGAGAAAATGTAGAAAGATTTGTGAGGCAGAGCAACATGGTTTTGACTAGAAGATAAAGAAGTGCTCTTATCTTATTTTGAACTTTTTCTGTTGTTTGAAAGCCCAGTCTTTTGTCTGTCATTAAGAGTTTAGTGTTTAACTTCTTGTTTCAAACTGAACCCTGTAGGAGCAGAGCTCCTTCAGTTGGGACTGGGGACCTTCCTTCCCGACTGTGGGCCTTTGGAAAGGCGTTCGATTGGAAGCGTTTGACATCCTGCAGCTTATCCAGTTATCCGCTCTTCCTCTCTACAGTAGGTTTTCTATGTGAATTTCATCACCATCTTTTACTTGTTTGGAACATATATCAGAGCTTGGTAAATATATAGCTGAGCGTGATTTTCCTGCTTTCTGCATTTGCTGGTTAAGTAGTTATTTTGTTTGCATGCATTCCGACAGATGGGAGCTTCTGTTGTGTTGACATTTTATTTGATCAACATATTCATGTTTTCCTCTTTTCCAGATCACAGCTGCTCTCAGTGGAGGCTGCAGGTTGAGTTTCTTGTTGATGTAGTCCGGACATTCAACTGCAAAATAGAGCTTTCTATACCCGAGCTGGGGTTGAATCAGACTTTTCAGACTCAGTTTGTCCAGGGAAGATTAAACTACAACTTCACCTTAAACATAAATCAGGTTAGGGTGTTTTAAAGATCAGTAATAGTTCACTTGGTTGTCACTATTTGTTTAAAAATAAATCTGTTTTATATGCCAGAACAGAGAAGTGAAGCTGTGGTGGCCCCGTGGACATGGCGATCAGCCTTCTTACCTTCTCAAAGTGCGGGGATTTCTGGAGACGTTTTTGATCCTGAGTAAAGAATCCAAGGTCCGACTTCATTTCTTTGTCCTCGTTTTTTCTGGTATTTTACTTTTGTTGCTCTAAAATCGCTAAAACGACCATACTGTCATTAAGAAGGGAGAATCTTATGCACACACCTATATGTGAGTTTTCTCCCATCCAGACTAGACTCAAGCACACAAACGTTCTAAGTTTGCCTCCTGGTGTTTTCAGTGAGGTATCTAGAACCTCTGGCAGGACATGGCGATAGAAAGTTGGCATGACTGAATCCAGCTGATTCTAGTTCGTTTAGCCTTCTGGTACTTGATGATTTCTTGATTTTTTATTTTTTTTTTTTGCATAATTTGTAGCATTCAATGGGTTTGCAAAGGGGGTCTCTGGCTAAAAGCTAATGCTGCTTATTTAAAAGTTAGGGGACTGCTGCTCTTGAAAACAAGGAGTTGATTTAAACAACTTTAGAACAATCTTTCTTCCAGGTGTTTTTTCGTACTGTGGAGCTCCTCCAGGAACCAGTAGCTGGATCTCCTGGTTTGAGTTTCTATTTCCGCATCAACGGCAGGCCGGTTTTCCTCAAAGGATCCAACTGGATCCCGGCTCACTCCTTCCAGGACCAAGTGATTCCATTGAGGTCAGTTACTTTTCAGAGACCTGAAGAGATTAAACCGAAGCTTAAAGTTGGAAGGTTTGATTTCAGATATTGCCTGTTCTCTCTTCCTCTGTGTGTCCTGCAGCTTAAGGAACTTGTTGCAGTCGGCTGCAGACGCTAACATGAACGCCCTCAGGGTCTGGGGAGGAGGAGTGTATGAGCAGGACCTGTTCTATGACATCTGTGATCAGCTGGGGATCATGGTAACATCTACCCGCTGTTTTAACTTCATCGTATCCAGTTTTCTAGCCTCATTTTTTACATAAGAAACTAGAGTATTTACGTGGGCAAACTGAATGATACAAAAAAAACAGCAGGTTTAAAGTAATTCAGTTTCCTTCAGCAGATTTTCTTCCTCATCAGCTTACTCCCAAAGTTAAGATACAATTAATCTGAATTTGATAAAAAAAAATCTGTCCTTTAATCTTTCTAATTCTTTCTAAAAATAATATTATCAAAATATTACACTTTGTTCTTGGCTGAAGGACACCGCTCTCATTATTTGCCATGCACAAATGAAGGTTATAACGTTATATCTGGACAGAGGAACTGTCTTAATTAGATAAACTACTAAAATCAGTTCTGAAACTCAGAAGGCAGCTAATATTAAGGTGTAATAATATCACACATCATCAGTGATAATTATCCCAACAAAAGCAAGGCTGCGGCTCTTTCTGAACATCCGCCCTAATCACCATAGCTGCGTCTCAATTCGCAGGCTGCGTCCTTCGAAGAACGCAGCCTGCGAATTGAGACGCAGCTCATGTAGGGCTCTATATAGTGGCTACGCAATTTTAGAGGAGTGTCCGTGTCTAGTGGATTAAAAAGTAGTGGACCCCGAAATTTCCCACAATGCACCTTGAAAAGTAGTGATCTTTCATGGTCAATAGACGACACAGCCTGTGTCCGAATGTCTGCCCTATCCGCTAAATCCCTCAGTCACTATGTAGAGCAGGGACTATATCGTGGACTTTATAGAGAACCCAGTTAACTGACCATTCAGATAAAGGATCACTACTTTTCTCTCCCCACTCGTCACGTGTCTCCAGCTCCCCGCATGGTACCTGCACCATCTTTATTTGTCGCCAGTGTCAAATAGCAACAGTGGGTCACTGTAACAACAAATCCCATAATGCTTTGCGAAAAGAGCTCTCCTCACAGAGCATTTCGGGATTATATGCTCACCTAGTGACTGTCACTACCCGATCCCTCCAGGAAGCACGATCCCTACCATCGGCTTATTTGCGCATGCAGATATACATCTGGGTTTCAATAAATAATGTAACTAAGGTACTAAAAAATTACTTATTTCTATCCTTAACTAACTAAAGAATAATAATACACATCTTGTTGTGTAAAAAAATGTTTTTTGACTTTTCTGAGGCTATTTTGATGCTTTTTACATTTTCTCCTTTAAAATGCTTCCCTGACGTCATCCTCAGACATGCTCAGAGCAGTCCGGCAAAATATGATTAAACCATGTTTATCTGCATTTTAGTTGTTTCTTTCTTTAGAATACGCACCATATACCATAAGGTAAACAGGAAAGGAAAACATGAAACTCAAAAAGACTATATTTATGTTTATATCCAAAGCCAAACAATTTAGCTACAGGAGGTAGCATAGGCTCCCATTTTCGGTGCAGATCCGGCAGAGAGGATTTCAAGGCATTTACTTTCTCAGGAAATATTTTATTAACCTTTAAAACATTATATTTTAGTAGGCTTACTATTTTTTGGGGAGGGAAGAATGTACAAAATAAAATCGAGGGTGACCCGGATGTATCTGGTTGCTCCTGTGCGAATGAGCTGATGATAAGGATCGTTCTTCCGGGACGGATCGGGTAGTGATGATCATTACTTTTCGAAGTGCATTGTGGGAAATTTCACTACTTTTTCATCCACTAGACGTTCGGACATCTAAAATGGTGTAACCACTATATAGTGCCCTATATAATGATTAGGGTGTACGTTTAGAAGCAGCCCAAGTCTTCTAAGAAAAAAAAAAAATGTCTTCTCCTCTTTCTTTAAACTCCTTGCTGTCGGTTGTTTTTTTTCAAAACCGATGGCTTGGATTGTAAGGTGTTACCCACAATACGAACAATAATATTATTACTAAAAAATTTTGTTTGTAATGCATTATTTTACTCCGTTAGTCTTGTAATATATTAACTGTATATAACATTGAGATTTTCTGACAAAAGCCATGTAAGCCACAGTCATCACTCTCACAATATAGAAAGGCTTTAAATGTTTACTCTGGGTAAAAAATGATTATAATATTTGATTTAACCTCTTTGAGCTAATAGACTTAAGACTAAGCAAACTCTTCGACCATGGATTTTTTTTTTTTTTAAGTGCACTTTCCCATTGCGTATTTCAGATTCATTGCAGCACTTTTGCACTCTTCCAGGATATTATCCAAAAAATCTTTGGACCTTCTTTTTAAGACGTAAATAAAACAACAAATAAAGCTATTTCGGGAGTGAAGGTTGGATTTCAGTACAGTTTTAATTGCGTAACACTAGAATGTCTCTTGAGCCTATTGCTGAACAGATGGGCTCTTAATAATCCGTTTTCTTTAGGTTTGGCAGGACTTTATGTTCGCCTGTGCCATGTATCCCACTGAGGAGGACTTCATTCAGACGGTGAGGGAAGAGGTCGCCCAGCAGGTGAGAACGAACACAGGCAGGCACTTTGTGTTTGTCCTCAGTTGGTATGCAAATAAAAATACAATGCGTCTGTTCAGAGAGGATGCATGCATGCAGCTTTGACATGAGTATGGAGTTAATTTTGTTTCATTATCGTTGCACGCAAAGAACCCATTGTGTAAATGGAAATAAAACAAAAAAAAGAAATTGAAAAATCTTTAAAATTTCTTAATAAAAAATTTAAAAAAAAAAGGTTTTGAGAGAATCTTGACTGTTTTCTCAGGTTTTTATTTATTTTAATTTAAATGTGTGTTTTTTTTCTTAAATGTTTTCAAATTGCTTTCCATAAATCCTATTTGGAAAAAATCACTTCAATTTTTTCACTCTCAAAACAATTCTTTGATTAAGAAGAAAATTAATTTCTATAAAGCAGTTTTTTTATTTTATTTCTATTTATAAAACATGTTCGTTGATTGCAACAATAATGGAAGCAAATTCACTCCATAGATGAGGTGTATCATGGTCACTAAAAAGAGCAGACATGTTTTCTGTCTTTGCTTTCAGGTCCGGCGCCTGAAGTCTCATCCTTCGATAATAATTTGGAGTGGAAACAATGAAAACGAAGCTGCCTTGGCAACAAACTGGTTCAACATCCCAGCTTCCCTAAAGCCCAAATACCTCAAAGACTTTGTGACCCTTTATGTGGATAACATAAGGCAGATGGTGCAGGAGGTCAGAGCCTGACACTGCCATATTTGAAATTTTAGGGTAAATTCATTAGCTGGGGATTTAAACCCTGTAAAAACCTGTCTGATTCAGATGGACCAGAGTCGTCCGTTCCTCGTCTCCAGTCCAACCAACGGGGCAGAATCAGAGCAGGAGGGCTGGGTGGCAGCAAACCCGTATGATCCTCGCTACGGAGACGTTCATTTCTACAGCTATGTCCACGACTGCTGGGACTGGAAAGCCTTCCCCAGGACACGCTTTGCCTCTGAATATGGCTTCCAGTCCTGGCCTTCTTTCTCTACTTTGCAGCCGGTACCTTAAAACAAATGCCTCTTATTTGGTTTCAGTAATTGCCTGAGATCTGTGAGCGAATTTCCTCACAGCAGCTTAAATCAAGCCATAACTGGGGAATTTAACAGAAATTACACATGGTGTTCAAATGTTTATTTTTATTCCTCCAATCTGTAAATCTGGCCTCTAATGACAGAGGGAAATCTATGATTGAAAGAAAAAACAAAGAAAGTCACATTTAAAGTTTACCGATAAAACTTAATGAGGGGCTTTACCTGCATATGAGAAGAAAGTTTTAATTTCTCTATTGTTTGTGGAAACAGTAGTGGCAGTATCATGTCACAGGATGCCGAGCTGCATCTTTGCCACATACTTTACTCAATCACCCAGTGGTGCTGAAGTTCTGTCTGTCCATTTTTTTTTTTTTTGTCTTATTGCCACTTTATGGTGGCCAGAATTCCAGATGGGGGGGTAACAAGCTCCTCTCCCACAGCCATCCAATCAGAGGACCTTCTATCTGCTGCTTGCTGGTTTTACCTCAGCATTGTATGTTTAAATTTAAAACATCCTTTTTAAAAAGCCACCAACTAACTTCTAAAGAGCTTTACTTACTTCTTCCTTTCTTAACTTTTTTTCCATCTTCAACTTTGATTGAAAAATACCTTCAGTTTTGCCCTCCTTCACTCTGTCGTAGCAACATCCAGTCCCTGATTGGTTGTTTTGAAGAAAAGATCAGACTACGTAACTTCATCGATCATTGTGTCTGTTGCCTCATTGCGCTCCTGAACGCTCCTCTACATGGTGATAAGTTGTAAAAAAAACAAAAAGAACTTAGACTTAAAAAAATATGATGTTATCAAGTGTTATTGGTTTGAGCATAAATGATTTAAGTAAGAATAGACCCCCAGTAAAAGGGCTCTCTATATGATGGGATGTCGCCCCCTGATGCTGAATAATCCACAGGTGGACCACAGGTGTTATTGGTAGTTAAACCAGTTAAGTTTACAGGGTTTTTATTTAGGTGGTGTCAGGGCACAGGGTGCTCATTTCACATGCAGGCTGCACTTTTCAGATTATTTGGAAAGCAGTTTAAAATCCATAATGTGATCTGCTTTTTGTCAGTTTGTCACATCAAATGTGAATAAAATATCCTGAAGGTAACTTGTAATATGATGGGTTGGAGAAACGATGGAATCTATCCTTCTAGATCTATTGGCTGTCAGATTAGAGCGAGCCGAGCTCAAGGGACAGAAGGTCGTGTTTATTTTTGGACGTTTGTTTTTCCTGATTTTTAAGGTTTCTGTCCAAGAAGACTGGAGCTACAGCAGTGATTTCACATCCCATCGTCAGCATCATGAGGATGGAAACCAGCAGATGCTGCAGCAGGCTGCTCTTCACTTCATCCTGCCGAACTCCACGGACCCACTGAAGAGATTCACGGACTCTCTTTACATCACTCAGGTAAAACTGACTTCTGCCATTAACACGTACGTTGATTAAACAAAGATTAAGTCAAAATTGAATAGTTGATGGAAAACAAAATGCAGCTTTTTAAAAGTAAAGCACATCTAGCCCTTTCTCCCCTCTAATTACACTGGTGTATTTTTTGTTATTTTTTTTTGTATTTTCTAAGATTTAAACTTGTGATGTGATTTTAATCCCTGCTAAACTGAAGCCACAGTGTTTGCAGGTCCTGATGTCTGCATCTCTGTTTTGGTTTTGATGACTGTGCAGGTCATGCAGGCCGAGTGTGTGAAGGCTCAGACGGAGTTTTATCGGAGAAGTCGAAGCGAAATGATTGAGGGCAAAGGTCACACTATGGGTGCTCTCTACTGGCAGCTCAACGATATCTGGCAGGCACCCTCCTGGTCTTCAATCGGTGTGTGGGCCGCTACTCGCAGCACAGTGTTGGGATCCTGCAAATATTTTAATTCTAAAATGTTGAGCAGTTGACTTTTATTTAAAGGGCAGCATTGGTGACTGCTTTTAAAGGTTTCTGCTTTCTCTCGACAGAGTTTGGTGGGAAGTGGAAAATGTTGCATTACTTTGCTGAGAACTTCTTTGCGGCTGTCCTTCCTGTGGGTTTTGAAGACGACGACACACTGTTCATCTACGCCGTCTCAGATCTGAATCATGACCTGAAGCTCAAAGCTGTGGTAAACTTTTACTTGCTTACCTCAGATTAGAGAAATATGTCACTAATTCCAAATAAGGCTGCATTCAGGAAGTAGTGCAGCCTTATTTAAATGCAGGAAGTAAATTACTTTGGTTTCGGTTTAACCAGGGTTATGTCCCTCTTATGTTGGTTGGCTCTAATAGGGGCGGGAATGTTAGGGTGGAACTCAGTTTGATTAGATAAAATGTTTAAAATCTGTTACTAAACTGTCTACTTGACGCTGAACTGTGAATAAGATGATACCAAATAGTTAATAAGCTGTTAACAAACTGATAAGAAGCTTTATGCAAACTGTTTTTAAAGCTATCACTAAACAGTTTTTAACAAGCTGTAAATAAGCTCTGACTCTGCTTAGCTGTTAACAAAGCTTATTTAATTTGATATCGTTGCATTTCTTTTTCAGTGACTCTGCTGGTCCTCCATATGATCCAACATAAACAGCTAAATGAATGAATTTGACATTTTGATCGTTTTCTTTCTGGACATAAACCCCTGACCGCTTGCTTCACATTTTATCTTTTCTGCCTATCAGCAAAAACAGATCAGTGTTTCTTTGTGTGTTGATCAGGTCACTGTGCACTCCTGGTCTGACCTGGATTCAGTTTGCACGAGAGCCTCAGACCTACAGCCTGTGCCTAGAGGCAGTGCTGTGGCCATCTTTGAACAGTCTGTCACCGCCCTGCTGGCCGGATGTGGCCGCTGCAGCCGCCTCACCTGCCTGCTCACCTTCCACCTGCAAGACGAAGATGGTGTCCAGCTGGGACCAACCAACCGCCACTTCCTCTGTTCACCCAGAGATGCTCAGGGGTTGCAGAGACCCAACATCACCGTAAACATATTTATTGAGTTCATTTTCTATATGCAGAGCAATTAATAATTTATAATAATTTGATCTGCCAGTTCTAATTTGCACAGATTACTTTAAATAGGCAGCTTTAAATTATAAAAGATACTTTCAGCATCATCTGAATAAAGAAATAGATTTACAGGCCATTTTATTTTAAAGTAATACTAAGATTTTCTGGAAAATAATTCATGATTTTAGAACACAAACATGAGAATCTAGAGGTGGTGGAACAAAGTGAACAAATCATCTGAATGTGGTAAAATGCACCGTATCACAAAGAATAAGAATAAAAAAAATATAGAACGGCATGAAAGAACTAATTATGGCAGAAATAGAAACGCGTTTTCATTTTTTTGTTAGCTAAGTCAATTCGTACCTTAAAGAAGCATTTTGTAGCTTTCTTTGATTAATAAGTGTTTATATTGGTATCAGAAGTGAAATTCACACTCGGTGAGAGGGAGGGAGGAAAAGATGTGAAGCAACTCTGCAGTAGATGACACCATTTATATATTCTAGAGTAGTGATCTTCAATGTGGGGGTGGCAGCCCCCTAGTGCAGTGATGCCCTGGGTCTTGGACCGGTACCGCTCTGTATGTCATTTGGTGCCTGGATGCACTTTAAGAACAAATAACTTCAATTAATTCCAACTTATTTATTCTCCTTTTTTAAATGATGAGTGAGATGAGGACTGGAGTCGTGGCTGAAATATGAATTTATCTCGTGTTTACATCCACCACTGCCATGTTTTTATCAAGAGTGAAAAAACATATTCACAGGCAATTTTAATTATATGTCTTATTTAATGGAAAACCACATTTTTCAAAAATTTGCATTTTGAAATCAGCAGAATATCAACATAGTGGACACAATGGAAATACTAGCAAGTAACATATTTGAACTCTTCTAAATAATCTCAGGTTTATCTAACCGCATGATTTGATCAACAATCAAACGTAGTCCCAATGGTCTTTGTTATAATTTCCAAAATATTAGATTTACAGATGAGAAACTAAACATGTGACTTAAGTTTTAAGCTTGAAATATAAAGAGCTTTTAACTCCTGCCATCTTGTTTTCAATTAAATTATTGTCATGTTGCTATAGAGCCACTAGGTGGTGCTACTAAGTGTCTACTTGTATGGAGAGATAAAGTAAAAATTTTGCAAGATGAGTTAGAGACTAACAAAGTTTTTTTTTTTTCTCCTCTAACAGGCAAAGGTTCAACAGGACAAGTCGGGCTTCACGGTGACCCTTAACTCTGCCGCCGTGGCTCCCTTCGTCTGGCTGGACGTGGGAAATGTCCCCGGTCGTTTTAGCTCTAACGGCTTCCTAATGGTCACAAGAAACGCTACCATCAAGTTTGAGGCCTGGTGTCCCACCAGCGTAGAAGAACTGTCCAGATCCCTGAGGGTGACAACGTTAATGGACGTTTACTGATCTGAGTTGGATGTTTGTGGCGACTGAAGACCAAATGGACTCCAGCACAGCTTTGGTCTTAGCTCCCATCTGTTTGTTTAAGAAATCTCACCCTTGTGTTGAATGGTTTTTGATAAATAAAGTTAATAAAACCTGTATTATAATTGGTACTAGAGTATGTTCGCTGCTTTTAAAAAAAGGAAAGGAATTAGATTATCAGCAGACATACAGAAAGAAGCAGATAATTGATCAGATGACAAAGATGGAGGATGTTTTATACCACAGACAGTTGAAAAGCTTTAAGGTTAATAGTTAATCTTGAGTGATGGTTTCACTACAAAAATCCACAAACCTTTCTTTCTATATAATTTATCGATGCAGGAGTTTTTTTTTTTTTTTTTTTAAGGTTGGGTTTTTTATCTCCTATTTCAGAAACATATTTAGTTAAAGTGATTTAAAATAGATCAGCTTGAGTTGCCATGTTAGGAACCACACTGCCCTGCCGGCTTAAACTACAATGGAGAACCATCTCTTATTATTAAAAATAGATCATTAAAAATAAAAGTAGAAATATATGAATGGCTGAAAAGAATAAAGAAAAATGCCAAATTTTTAAAATAGATGGATATATATAATTTACCACATATTTTATAAGTTAAATTTGTGTTTCTTCTCTGCCTGTTTAGATAATGTACATTTTACTTATAGATGCATTTATGTTTTATCTATTTTTTGCTATTTTTTCCTAAGCCCTTCAACTTACATGTTTATTCTGAATTTACCTGGTTATTTAGTATTTTTACTTATTTCTTTTTTGGTTGGGGGGGGGGGGCATTTTTATATTTCAACTTTTATATTTAATTATGTCAGAGTTGGTCCTCCATGGTACCGCATTCTAAAATGTATCAAGCCTTTATTGATATTGGCCCCTTAATTGTGTTCCTTATGTCACTAAAATGCTATGAACCCATAGTAGGGCACCTCTGGGACAGAGCGACTCTTAAATGATGCACTCAAACCGTTGATGAACGATAGATTAGAAATGTTAATGCAGTAATTATTACTTTTAATCCATTCCTGGGAGGGCTATATTGTTCTTGCAACAAGTGAGAGTTTCACAACTTTCCCCAACTTGAAACCAAAGTGGCATCACTGTCGTCAACAAATCAAAGATAATGAAACAAAGATTTACAAAATAAGCCGGTGAGTGAGTGGCACATGTGTGGCTGGTTAATTTAATCAGAATACAACAATTTAACAATTTCTGAGCCTGTAACTCTCCACTTATGACACTTTTTGTTTGCAGTTCTCATATTAATTGTACTACTTTAAGTGGAAATTAAAGATATTCTTTATTATTTTGAGAACAAAAAAATCTGAAACGAGGTGTGCATAACAGTTTCCACTTGATTTATAATTGAATCTCTACAAACCTATCTGTTTTAATGGGTACAAAATAGTTTATTTTTAAAAAAAAAAAGTTTGTTCACATTTTGCCACAAGACATGAAGGAGAAATGGCAAACACTGAAGATTTCTTTCAGGTGCGACCAAACATGAGACTGTTCGCCTCTGCATCATCACTCAGAAACATGGTGGTGGCAGCATCATGCAGTGGGGATGTCAACAGAAACTGGTCTGGATTTACTAGGTGGCCATTTCTGAAAGAAAAGAACAAGATCAAGATCACAGATGACATTTTATTTCTGGCAGAAAAAAACTGAGATGTACTGCTGCCCCTGCAATTGTCTTGCAAATTACAGCACCATTACATTCCCATCAGTTTTTTTTATGAAGTCTGAAAAAAACAGCACTTTGTATTTTATATCTAGATTTAACAATATTTCTAAGAAAATTTCTACATAAAATCTTAACATCATCAATAAAAAGATCCAGTTAAGTCCATCCTCATGTTTCCCAGTTTGAGGCAAAATTCTGTCCAACCACCAATGTTCATAATGATCAAATCCTGATCAAATCTGATGATCAAATCTTTACTTCCCCGTCCCATTCTTCCTGCCACTTCCAAACTACATATTCATTGATCAAACTGCGGCCTTCAGTCTGCCTCAATGCTCATCCATTTACTCATCCATTAAAAAAAGGAATCCATGCTTCAGTTGGATCTATTTGAGTGTCTTTAGCCACTTTAACACTATAATTTCCTGTCCTATCCTAATGACATGTGTTGAACTAGAGATGCGTAGATCAATGAATTGTTTTTGTCGATTTCATATTGCAACCACAAGAGGGCGGCAGAAACCATTTAAAGTATTCCTTACGTTTGCACTCAGTTTTATTCATGAAATATTTCTATAAACAAATATATATTAACATAACTAAATACATAAACACCAAGCCGCGAGTGTTGCGCCCACTTTTCACCCCTTTTGTGAAGTCACATCATTTACCACACAGCCTGTCGCACATTTTCCTCACTGAGCGTCAGCATGGTGTTTCTGATTGAATCAGCATTGAAATCAAGTGTGGAAACAGTGGGCGCGTATCCGCTTGATCACCACCCCTTTGTTTTTGTTTGCTGCAGGCTGATCTTTGACCCTCATCCAGGGAGAATAGACAGATCCAGAGCGGCTCAACTGCAGGAGGAGTTAATAGAAATAGTGATCAGGAACAGGAGGGAGGGGGAAACATCGCAGTGCAGAATCAAGCGGAGAGTTTCTGGCATGGATCACACTCCACGGACACTTTGATCAGCGGCTGCGGCACATGTTATTCTCAGGGGGGAAATACAGTCTAAAAAGTAGAGATGTTTGTTGCACAATGGCTCGCTGCATGCGTCCTGGCTTCCAGTGTGGTCGCCCAGGGCTTTAAAGTGACAGAGCAGAATGGACATGAGTTTTTAGAGAATATTTTACACTATTATGGTGAAAATAAATCAATTACAACAGAGAAGTTGGAAGATCTGCTGCTTTTGATCTCAGCCAGACGATCGGAATCAATAATTGAAGCAAATCCACTGGAGGACAAAGAGGTATGTATTACCATTCTTTCACTTTTGTGAATAGTTTTGTTCTGTTTTATTCAATTCAGTTTATTTATATAGCGCAGATTCACAACACATGTCATCTCAAGGCACTTTAAAATTCAACTATTCATACTGTCAGATTGATTCAAAGTTTTCTATCTAAGCAAAACCAGTTAACTGGCAGGCAATCCCTTACACCATGCATGCTTGTAGTGATAGTGGAGAGGAAAAACTCCCTTTTAACAGGATGAACAGATGTTTAGAAAATTCCTGATCAAAGCAATATTTTTGTCTGAGTGGTATAAAATTTACCTTTTTTTTCAATCACTCATAGTTTCCTTGTGTATTATTAATAGATGTAAGGATTATTTATCTAGCTCGGTTTAATTGCAAACAAACTTTAGATGCTAGGTGTTCCCTTTAGTTTGTATTCCACCTAACTCCTAAGGAGCCAGTAATTATTCAATGAAATATTGGCTCAGAAAATACATGTATTATTTTTAAAATGCAGTTGATATCTCCACTTCCAACTTAACATAATATATATCAAATCATTCTAAAATGTTGACCATTTAAACTGTAGGGTTTTTGAGGATTGAAGGGTTTTGAGAGCTCATAACTATTTTAGCTCAGAATTTCCTAGACAAATATTCAAACGCTTAACAAAATAATCACTGATTTATTTAGATTGTTTCCCTTTCTTCATAAAAGTTTTCCTACACTAAGTTAAGTCTGCTTTGACAAAGCAAGATTCCTTGTTTGATCATATGTATAAATCTAAAGAAATCAACAGCTAACCACAGTGGTCAGAGCCTGCAGAATGATGCTGGATAAAACTACTAAAAAGATTTGATATCAACAGGGAAAAGCTCACCTACATATAGCCACAGCACACGTTCACTTGTCTTGGCTTTGCAACAATCAGTGACAATAACATGCATGTAGTGACAGTTGAGAGAAAAAAAAAACCCTCTAAACCAGAAGAAACCTCCAACAGAACCAGGCTAAGTTAAGCATCCTTCTACTGGTTCTGACTGAGGGGTACTAGGACAGGGGCAAATACAGTGAGGAAGAAGCCTGTTAGTCCAAATGCAACACAAGGTGCATCATTTTTGGTCTGATGAGACAAATATTAATTATTCTGTAAGACAGACTTTTAAGTCCTAAGAACACCATCCTATTGGTGAAGTACAGTGTTGGCTACATAATCTTGGGGTTTTCTTTCAGCAGGCAGATTGTTGGTTAGAAAATAGACACCATCTATTGTAAAATAACTAAGGACACCATCCAGGTAACTAAAGCGGGGGCATAAGATTTGCTTTTCAAATTTTATTTATTTAGTTTTTATTTTATTTTATTAAATTATTCAAAAAAACAAAACAAAAACATGAATAACAAACGCTCTAAAGTCCTGAATGAAAGGGAACAAAATAAAGAATAATCTTATGTTATCTGCCAAATGTTGTTTGTAAAATACTATATAATACTAATTCAAATGAACAGATTAGTTGGACAGTGAAGGTCTCAAAGCCCTGATCTCTGTCCCAAAGGAAGGATGTGGGCAGAGGTGAAAAGGTGACCCCATTTTCACCAGTTCTGTCTGAAGTACTTGGCATTAAAAAAGAAAATTCCAGCAAACTACTATGAGTCAATCTCTAAAATGACTCAAATAATGTCAATTAAAGACTGTTCTGCTAAATACTAAAGAAATGTAGATATTCCTCTAACTCTGAATATGAGTTAACTTTTATACCACTTTCTTGATCAAAGCTCTCATGTAAGGAATGTTTGGTTACCAGGACAGCTGAGTAAGCTAAATATGCAACCAAGACATTGTTACCACGAATCGAAGTAGACTGAGGACAAAAACAACATTATGTTGCTTTATAGACACATCTGAAAATCTAGAAAGAGAAACACTCCAAAGAGCAAAGGAGAAATGCAGGAAATGAAACCTAACGGCCTCTCTGTCCCCTCAGTGTCCCTCAGCGGATCAGATTTTGTCCCACTTTGGCCTCGGTAACGTGACTGAGCTGACTGTGGGACATCTGGGGAGGATCTGCCCTGCTGTGTTGACTCAGGTGCTGCTGCCCTCCTGCCCCTACATCAACCCAATAACTGTGCCTGCTGTCGACTACTCTGGTAAGTTGCCTCATTCCAGCTGTTTGACTTATATCAAGACTGCATGAGATTAGATAATTAGGTCACAGAAGTTTATTGCTTCAGACTAGAGATGTAGCAACACATCCACAGTGACTCACATGGTGGATCCCTTTAAAGGTTCATCGCCAGATTTAATGTCTTGAAATCAGCTCTAATAATAGATTGGTAATATAAATGAGTCAATGTTCACATTTGTTCCACAACAGGCTGAAGGAAATTCGCTCTAGTTTGAAGTCCTGCCGTCACACCATGGTTCCTCCTTTCATTATTTTGTTCACCTCAAGGGGAGCAGGTGTGAA